TTTTTGGATTTTTTTTTAAATATGCCAAATCGACTAATTAGTTAATTGGGATTAATTGCGGGAAAAAAAAAAGTTAATTGGGATTTAAACTTTCAAATGAACCAGTCATTATGTATTCATTTTGTTCTCTTTTATGGGGTATTTGTAAACCATAAATATATCTCAAATTATAATCTATGGGCAACGAGTATCGCTCACTAAATTTGTTTGTATCTAAATAAAGATAAATAAATTTAAATCTTATGTCTAATCAAGGTATTCCTCACCTTTTATGATTGAGTTAACTCCAATGGGTTTTTTTAAATTTTACTTGAATGATTAATTTTTTGGTACCATTTCTCATCAAAAACTTATTTCTTGCTATAGTGAGATAATTAAGAGATAATAACTTGAGATGTTATAGTTTGATTAATTAATTTCTACTCAGTTTTACGTGATGTGTTTCAATATTTTCTCAAGTAATTAACTAAAAAACTATTCTCTCTTTTGATGCAATACACACACGTATATACAGTGCACCATCCCCCTAGCATCTCCAATTTTCTTTTATTTCTACTTTAGTGTTCTAGTTTGTTTCTTTTCTAAGGAGTAGTATTTTTGTGATTCTCCTTTTTGTATGATAGATATACATAGTTTTTTTTTCCTTTTTTAAGTGAATAAAATATTCAACCTATTGGACTACCCTAAAAAAATTTAAATTTGTTTAGGTAATAGATAAATAAATCATGAAGAAAATGATATATGGAGTTTGTCTTTTCTTTTTCTTTTCTTTAAGTCCATGTTTGGTATGAGGAAAACTAAAGAGAGGGAAATGGAAGCATATCTCGTCCCCTCTCTTTATAAAAAAAAAAGAAAAAAAGAAAGTAGTAAGGGAAACCCTCACCTCCCCTTCCTTCAAACCAAACAAGTTATAGGTTTGTTATAACAAAAATCTGTAAAACTATTTTTTTTTTTTATGTGTTTGCAGTGTGAGAGGAACAATTGAGAGGTACAAGAAGGCATGTGCAGATACCTCCAATAGTGGTTCGGTTGCTGAAGCTAATGCTCAAGTATTTATAAATTCCCAAACACCATTCTTTTTTTCTTTTTTCTTTTTTCTTTTTTTTTTTTAATGTTAAACATAGACTTTGGTATTATTAATACTGAAAAAAAATGGATACAGTAGTCACTAGTATATTAAGCTAAAGCCCTTAGGCCCTCCTCGTAGCCACTAACTGCTCGATCATCATTCTTGAAAATGTAACAAATGATTCATCCAGACATTGAGTTAGAGAATTCATAAGAAAATATCTTATTTATCTGTCAAAAAATTAAATCCTAGTTAATAAAATAGGATTGAGCAAACTTAAACTAATGTTTATAGATATCTAGAGCAAAATCTATTGTTGTTTTTGGTATACAGCTTATATCTTTAGCAAATCTTTATATGGCATGCTAATCCCCAAATCAATATTGTGGCATAAATCTCAGTTCTACCAACAAGAAGCTGCGAAATTGCGCCTGCAAATCTTGAGCTTGCAAAATACAAACAGGTGATTAATTTTTTTTAGAAGTTGCATTCTCTATATATGATTAATTTGGAATAATGAATTTAATTGACAGTAATGTTATTTTTGCAGGAACATGCTAGGTGAGTCATTGAGTTCATTGACCATGAAGGAACTTAAAAGCTTGGAGGGTCGCTTGGAGAGAGGAATCAGCAGAATCCGTTCCAAAAAGGTTCCTCTTTATACAATTTCTCATTCATATCTTCATCTCCTTTTCTTGAAGAGTATGGTTTTAACAAAATTTCCCATTTTCCATTCTCATTTCTTGCCCTAAACTCCACCAGAATGAGCTGCTGTTTGCAGAAATCGAGTATATGCAGAAGAGGGTAACTACACATAAATCTTGCACTAATTTTTTTCTTTTCTTTTGGTTTCATTTCTCATTTGTTAATTAATTTTGGAAAATGATATGTGCACACCCGGGTGTGCACACTCCTCTTTGAAAAAAAAAAATGCCCATCACCCACCCGGTCCAATTTTTTTTTTATATGGGGGTGCACACACGGGTGTTGGATCTGGGTGTGCACCAATCAGGGTTCATTAATTTTATATTTGTTTTATAACTGAAAATAATTAAAAACTGAAAATGTTTAATTGAGCTAGAGAAAAGGTGTTTTTTTGAGTGTTCATATTCATGATGTTCTTGTGTTAGAGGAGCACCTACTCCTAGTCTGCGAATCTAAATCATGAAAACCCAAATTTACTTTAATGGGAAAGCTAGGAGGTTTGTATCTCAGATCTTTAGTCTGGGAAGAAAAAGTTCATATTTCAAATCATCCCAATTTTCAATTCTTTAGCTGTACATGTGCCTTAATTACTACCATAGACCCAACCCCTAAGAGCTTACCCTTTTTAGAAATTGCTTTAATATGTGTCTCCGATTGGCAATTTTCAAGCTCTATCTAATCCATTGATGGGATGTTAAAATTATGTAATTTTATTCTTTTTAAGTTATTATCTTGACTAACATTGTTTGTTTGAAAGGTGCTTTGTGATGTTAAAACAAAATGATATAAAAGATATTTCTATTTTTATTTACACATCTTTTTTTATAAATAATGTTATTTTCTTAAGAGATTCTTATATTGTTATTTAAGTATTACACTTTTTAAAGGTATTTTCTTATATGAAATATTATATAAAAGAATGAATCTCTTTTCATACTATTTTAGTTAGTGATGCACATCTTAGTGATTATGAGTAATTTTTAAAGTTTTTTAGAATGTAGTTTTGACCTTCTTTTTCTGTTTATAAAAAACTTAAACCACTTTCAAAAATAATGTTAGCATTGATTGTTAGGTAGCGAAAGAATGGTTTCCCTACCGTAGAAGGTTTTATTGGTATTCCTCTACTCTAGAAGTTAAAACTAGGCAAGATAGATACCAAACCGAACCTAAAATCCTAAGAATTTAGACTGCAACAGTATTTAACCTGTTGTCATGTGATACGGATGCTTCCTTTTTTGATGGGATCCATGGATTCTTCTTATTTTATGAGGACTATACATTCTTTTGCTTGTTGATGGTAATTAATTTGCACATTGCAGGAAATTGACTTGCATAATAACAACCAACTCCTCCAAGCAAAGGTCTCTTGTTTTCCTTCTTATTAATTCATGTACGGATATGTTCAGAGAAATTAACAGGAGTGAATATATTTCTATTGTATTTTCTAGATAGCTGAGAATGAGAGGAAGCAGCATAACATCAATTTGATGCCTGGAGAAGCTAACTGTGAGATCATGCATCCACAGCCATTCGATTCCCGAAACTACTTTCAAGTGAATGCATTACAACCTCCCAATGAGTACTCCCACCAGGACCAGATGGCTCTTCAGTTAGGGTAAGAATTTTCTATATCAAATTCACATCATTGATCATTACCAGAGAGAGCATAAACCTGCATCCTTAATATTGATATTAACTTCTTTCTGTCTCGATGCAGGTAAAGAATTAGCACCTTCCGTCATGTCTGTTTAACGTGGAGTGCATTAGTATGTGCTGTAGTATTTTCATCAGAAGAAAGCGACAGGTATGCTACATAAGGCAGGAAGCACTTTCCTCTTGCAGAGGATCAAGGTAGATTGTTCTAAGACTGATAATTAAGTTTGTTTATCTGATATGAATTTTATATTTAATAATTTTTATGTTTAGTGTGTGAGGTGAAGTTCCTGTGTGATTAACCTTGATGACGTGTGATATAGCTTCTCCATGTAGTAATATAAGCTTGCATGCTTGTGTTATCTTGTATTCGATTTTGTAATGTCTATGATCCTTTGTGTCTAAAATTTGGACTAGGAATCATGATAGGGTTAAATCTCATGCAGAATTGACTAGGAACACAAACTCTCTAGTCAAATTCAAGAGCACCTCAATGGAATTTGGTTGAGAGTTTGTTTCCCCCAACCAATAAGTATCTTAATGTGGATGCAGACATATCCTTCTCTGAAACTTAGATAACCTTTGTAAAGGATGAGCCTGCTTACCATTTAGTATTTCTACAACAAGGTATGCTGCCTCAACTCGGATCCTACATTGGATTCTGCACTCACCCACTTTTGAAATGAGGCACAGTTAGATCTGTGTGGATGCAGCAAATCTTACTGTGAACCCTGGGGCAGAACTAAGGGGTAGGGGTGGGGGAAGCAACAGAATTTAGAATTATCAAGGAGTGACAATCAAATTTATGTGAAGAATTTCCATTGATACACCAAGCTAACCTAGAATACCAGGTGATTGTTAAACCAGAAAAAGGAAAGAAAGAAAGAAAGAAAATCTTTCTGTGAATAAAGTTGGACCTAGGGGTGGAATTAGGGGGTAATGTAGTTAAACATACGTTAATGCCGCAAAAAGAGAGGAAGAGAAACAACTTAACCCTTTTATTCTTTCAAGCAAATGGGGTATAGGAAATTGATTAGTTTTTTATTGAGGTTCATATAGAAGTGGGAGAACAACCGTGTATGTTACTGCTGCTATGATCTTGTTAACAGCTTCAGAAGGATGGAATCCATCCCAGAATGATGATAGAATCCTGTCCTGACATACACCTTTGTTATGAATGCACAGACCATTTATATCCACTTCACAGCACCCGGAGATTTCAATGTTGAGACCTGAAATTCACAAAACAAAGAGAGTTAGGAAAATAAAATCACTTCAAAACAAAAAATTCATTGTACGCCATCTCTACACACCTGGTGCATAAGTATTTGTGAATGGTATATCGAAAATGTTCACGAAGACAAATTTAGCATCGGATAAATCATGATTGAGCTGATTGACGAGTGATTTCAGTCTCTGATTGAAAATATAAGCTGCATTATTCATGGAGTCTACGCATATTGTCCCTTTTCTTTCATAGGTGTGCGTTGCATTTGGGGTACAGCCTATTGTCAAAAGTCCCTGTATGGACACCTTTCTTGCCCCCAGAAGGTACAGGGTCTAAAACAATAACAAACAGCATAAATGACATTTATTAATAATGTTAATGGCTAAATTATAAGGGAAAAATGAAAGAAAATTTCAAGACTGACCCTTAATTGTTGAGAATACTGCTCGATAAGAACATCTGCGTACTGTTCTGGAGAATACTTGCTGCTTGTGTCGTAAAACTGAGGCATGAAATAGTTGCTCATATAGTCATTGCTTCCAGTTACAACTGAATACAAGCATTTGTTCAGGAGTTCATAAGCTGATTCCTTACTCCCCAACATGCCAGCAATGTGTGAGGTGATGTTTCTATGGTTTTCTATCTGCTTATTTAAGTTGATATTAGCACCCTGAAAGAAAATACACAAACAGATTGGAAGAGCTTAGCCAAGTTTGTACTCACTAACTTCAAAACCTTAAACCTCAATAGGTAACGATTAATTTTCTTGCCAGTAAAGTAAAAGATGAGAAGGAAGAAACTTTTGTGTCAGGTTGTACTATGAAGATGTTCAGTTGGCGATAAGAAAAATCACCCAGTTTCTGCCAGTTTCATTCCGGATTCCTGATGAACCAGATGCATAGTTTAAGCCCTGGAGTATCTCTCCACCGGAAGCAGTGGCAAAGGGTGGAATGTAGTGCTCAAATCCCAGATGTTCAGCTGAAGGAGAAGATGATCATGAATTAGAATGCAACAAAATTGAACAAGAGATAAAATGATATATAAAAGAGCCAAGACAGACCAATTATGTCAGCGGGAGTTAGACCATTGTAGAACCTGCCGGTGGGTCCAGCCGGGAAGTCCATCCCATAAGGATGGTAATTAACCTTGGCCAAAGTCTGTAGGTTATTGTTATTGCCACTATCAACAAGGGAGTCCCCAAAAATGAAATAGCAGGGCACTTGTGGTTCCCCATGGATGCAGAGGTGAAAGCTTGCACATTCCATTAGAAGAACAAGAACCCACCATAGTAATTTCCTCATAGATGCCATTAAGGTTTCTAAATTGAGAGGGTGCGGATTTAAGGAGATGATGAAGTAGGGGGATTCGTTTGATTTAGGGAGTTCGCAATATTCACAACAATTATTTTGCAGGATTCCCTACATTATTTTGCCTAAAAAGTAGGGAGGATTTTAATAATAAACCATCATACGTGTTGGGCAAGGTTTCGTAACTCCTTTTTGTTGAATGCTGTTAGTGGTAATGTTTGACATAGGTATTGATGAATTCGAGTTTGGGAGGATAAATGAAATGGATGCCAGGACTGGAGGAGCTGAAACTGTGTGGAAGATGCCAGGTGAGGCTTTTCAGCATTAGCAGATGGAGAGAGCAGAGGGGATGGAAACTACTACTAAATGAGGGTAAGATCAGGGTGAATTGTTAGAGATCCTTAAAAGCTGGTTGTTGGGTGGATGCTACTGGTGATACACAGTTAGTTAATGGTTTCCTCCGAT